CCTCTACCCCTTGCTGAGCTGGACCTTCTTCAGAGTTGGGTTTGGGGGACCTACCTCCAGCTTCTCTCCTCCCCCTTATCTTGAGCTGGGAGCGAACAGGTTAATCCACCCCCTCAGACCAGCTCCGCTCGGCCCCTATGTCTGGGTTTGGTTCTTAAAGGCACAGGGTGGGCTTGGCTCCTTTTCCCCTGCCCAGAGCCAGGGGAGGTGGGGGCATTTAGGAACCTAGCCCGGGACTGAATTCTTGGTTCCCGCTTCCCGGGGCGAGGGCCTGTGAGACTGGGGCGCCTCTAGGGGCGCCATCTCCCACCTTGGGAGCCTGTCCCGTCTCCGGGGCACGAATTCAGCACCACGGCCAGGGTCCAGCGGAGGGTCCTTCCTCATTTGCGCATTTTCCCGAAGCAGAAACCGGTTCTCCAAAGAGGAGGAAACTAGAATCAAAGACGAGTTTCAGTCGTGGTCCAGGCCCCCAGTCGTGCAACCTGCTTAGATCTGCAGCTTCACCTGGAAAATGGGAATAAGCAGAGCCGTAGCTACCTCCTCGAACTCCAGGGTTGCTGGGGTGTCGTTATAGAGGCAGAGTAAGGTAGTGTTCAAACTTGATCCTGCCGGGCCTCACCCAGAGGTTCCAGTTCTGTAGGTCTGAGGTGCTGGGTTTCTAACAAGCTCCAAGGCAGCTGGCCCACAGACCCCCTGCTAGTAACCCGAGCTTCGAGACTAGACTGAAGGCAGGCAGTCCCCAGTGGAAGAGGTGTCTCCCCCCACTCACTCACTATGGGGTCTTGAACACTTAACTATGAGTCCCTTTGCCTCTCTGAAGCCTCTATTTCCTTATCTGTACAATGGGGCTACGAACAATACCTTTCTTGGGGGCACATCGTAAATGCGAAGTGAGAGGAGGCCCAGAAAATGCTGATGGCGGTGCCTGGCGAGGGGTCAAAGCCCTCTTAATGATGCGAGTTCCAAGTGCTAGGGGTCAGGGTTAGCCAAGGTCACACCGGGTACATCCCTGAATCTGGCACCCGTGTGCCAGATGCTGGTACCTGAAGCTGGGGGTCTGGATGAATCAGACCGATTTTGAGATTGAAGACCCTTTCCCCATGCAGAACCTCAGGACCCAGGCCTCGGGGACCAGCAGGCAGACAGGCAGGGAGGCAGCACCATCCCTCAGCAGCCCTCTGGGCCCCTCCTGCTCTTCTGCCCAGGAAACATTCTCTAGTCATCCTGAGCTCAGGGCTAAGGCAGCTCCTTGGTCAGGGATATGTAACTGTGACCAAGCCCTGACCAGCTACCGTGGCATCTAACTGCCTCTCCTGCCAGGGCCTTCCCCGGCCCAGAGGCCTCTTATGGGCCCAGTGTAGCCTGGGCACTGCAGTCAGGTGCTCCTGGTAATACTTTCAGCTTGGCACTTTGGTTGTGTGGCCCTGGACAGGTTCCTGCACACCTCTCTAAGCCTCAGCCATCTTCTTCTAAAGAAAGGAGACTTTTACAGAGTACCCCCCAGACTGCCTGGGAGCACTCACAGGACACGGAAGGAGCATGGTGGCATAGGGATTACATGATGAGCTTCGATCTGCAAGGTCGGCAGTTTGAAACCACCAGCCACTCCCCAGGAGAAAGAACAGGCTTTCAGCTCCCATAAGCAGTTACAGTCTCAGAAACTCACAGGAGCAGTTCTACCCTGTCCTATGGGGTTGTTATGAGCATCAACTTGATGGCAGTGAGTTTGTTGTGTGGGGGTTGGGTGTTTTTTGGGGGAGGGTATTTTTGGTAGAGGACTTGGGCATATACTAAGAGGCTGGCACACAGTAAGCACTCAGCCGGTGAGTTCTCTGTGTTTTCTCCAGTCCTGGAGGGTCTTGCTTGCTTTCCAGGGCCTGTCCCCACTGTGGAGCATTCAGGATGTCTGTCCTTGATGGCACAGTCTCCTGTGTCATTCATCCTGAAAGTAGCCCACCTCCAGGAGGGACGACAGCTCAGGAGACCCCTCCAGAGCCAGAGGGCAGCAGGAAAGAGCAGCCCAGACTGGGCCAGCATGTCCAGGCTCTGGTCCCAGTGGGTGGCCTTCCTGGGCAAACTGCTTCAAGTCCAGGGCCTTGGCTTGTACCTCTCTAAGCCTCCCGACAGGCCTGCTGATGTTGCACACACGCATCCCCGTGCCCCACCTTGCACGCACCCTGTCTGCTCCTGGAAGGCACTCAGCAACTGCTCTGGATGGGGATCGAACTCATGGACTTGGGGGATGCGGTCAAATCCCAACACAGCCACTTCCCAGCTGGGTGATTTTGACAAAAGTCCTTGACTTTCTGTGCCACTACCTCCTTGTGTGTTTTGGGGTAATAACAGGTCCTGCCCGAGAGGGCTGTGAAGATCCCATGACGTCAAGGGCTGGCATACACTTAGCACAATGTCTTTAAAAACGCCCCTTCACTGTGGCCCTGCAAGCACCCTCAGAGGTGACCATGTGGGCCTGGGGTGGGGGTGGGGGGCCATCAACTGGACTCTGAAGCAGTTCCTGTGCCCAGCCTCCAACTCCCCCGTCCTTTGGAAGGTGGTTGTTGAGGATGCAGTGAGGCAAAAGTGAGAGAGTGGCTCACTGACCGGCCGGGTAACCTCCCATGAGTCCTGACCCTCTCTGGTCTCAGTTTTCTCAACAGGAAAACAGACTAGCTGGTGGGTCCCACCTGCCCCTCTCCCATCTCAGGCAAAAAGAACTACCCCTTTTTCATGTGTCCCAGCTGGGCCTCTGTTTCCTCTTTTGCACAATCCTAGCCCTTACCTAGTGGGGCTGCGGCCCGGGTTAAGTGGGTCCACGCATGCGAAGTTCTTAGAGCAGCACTGGAACTGCAGACGTGCTATGTGGGCGAGCTGTTATTACTAATACTGTTGTCATTTCTACCTGGGGGGGCATCTGGAAGGCCACCCCTGACTCCTGCGGCAAGGCTGGTTCACGATCCCCTTCCTCTATCCTCTCCAGACCTACCCTCGTCTCCTGAATGGATCCCTGGGGAGCCCCTGCCCCTGACTTCTGACCCCAAGAACTGAGCAGGTCTCTGGAGCCCCATCAGGCATGGCAGGAGGAAGCAAGAGGCGAGGGTCCCTTTCAGCCCTGCCCTGGTCTTGCCTTTAAGCTCCTGGACGCCGACCCAGCCCTGCCTGGGCTAAACTATTTCCACCCCCCACCCCCTCTCCTGAGAGACCCACAGGTGAGAGCTGGGGAGGCAAGGAGCCTGTCGATGGGCCCACTCCTGCACTCAGAAGACCCCAGTGGTTCCCCAGGTCCCTCCAGGCACAAGGCAGGATTCTAGCCTTGCTTGGGGCACAGACCCCTTGTCAGCTGCTGGACCTAGGCCCGTCTCAGAATCCTATATTTCATGGACTGAAAACAAACATGTCAGGCTCCTGTCTGAGGGAGGCAATGGATTATAAGAGCGCATCTTTGAAACAAGGCAGTGATAGAGCCATGCATGCCTCTGCATGAACCCGTTCCACAGCGTGTGTACAAGTGGCTGTTGTGAGGCGCGTCCGTGGTATTTCAAGTCTGTGGCTACAACTGCTACGTGGTGGAAAGATCCGTGACTTCGAGCCATGACATTGTTGCAGGCACTGCTAACACTACCTCCCTTTGTCGCATACTCCTACGTGTCTAATTGAAGAAACCGCTACATGACAGTTTCAGATGCCTGGAAATAAACATGTCACTTTTTTTGTAAAGCCCCATCCAAGTTTAAGCACTCCCTGGAGGTATTCTTAGACTCCTGGGCCTGAGGGATCTTGAGTAAAAGCTCCTTCCATGATCCTATCTGCCCTCCTCACCTCTCCCAGGCCTGACACCCCTGTCTACTCTGCCCCAGCCATGAAGGCCTCTTTGCTCGTGGCCCGACGGGTTGGACATGCTCCTGTGTTCGGGTCCTCCCCAGGCTATGCTTTCTGCTAGGAGCACCCTTCCCCCAGACACCTGTGTGAGCCCTTCTTCAGCTGACCCAGGCCTTCATTCAAACAGCACCTTCCCAGAAAGGACTGCCCTGGTAGATCATCCTATTCAAAATCACAACCGTCACCCCTCCTCCTGACACCCGGCACCCACGCCCCTCACCCAGCTCTACCCCCCTTTTCCCACATGCCACGTCATTATAACGTCGAGCCCCAGCTGCCCCTACTGGAATGTCAGCGTCTTGAGGACAAGGAGCTTGGTCTTGTTCATGGCTGGGTCCGCAGTGCGTACAGCCCAGCCTGCACACAGTAGCGCTCGGTGAATGGGTGCTGAGAGTGATGTGTTTGTAAATAGGGCCCAACCCCATTGTTGTGGAATCTCACAACGGGCCCTTAGCATGGAGTAGACAGCCCCCCAGGATTCCCCAGCTCCTTATCTTTACGGGGAGGGGGGGTGGCGGCGGCGGGGAAGCCGACACCTCAGCCAGGGGAAAGGAAGGCAGCACTTCAGGGGGGTTCCAGCCCCACAGGGAAGGTCGTTCACCAGAGATGGCCGATGTCTGGTCACTGCCCAGCTCCAGGTGGCAGAGATGGCAGAGGGCCTCCGTGGCTGCATGCCCTGCCCCAGGACCTGGCTTCCTCCCCTGCCTTCCTCTCCCCAGCCCCCTCGCCCAGTTGACACAGGGCTTTGCCCACCGGCAGCTGACCCCAGATAGCCCCACTCCCTGGAGGCATCCCTCCAACCACCCGTGCTAGAACCTACAGGCAAGTGTCCGGCCAGGCGACAGGCCTGGCTCAGTCTCTCATCTTAGCCCGCCACGCAGAGGCCCCAGCTTGTGCTAGGGGCTGGACGGCTAGGGGTCCCAAGAACAGAGGGCTGAGGGGGCAGAGTCCTGGGACAGGAACAGGTGCTCCCCTGCTCCCAGGTCTCTCTAGATCAGTGGTTCTCAACCTTCCTAATGTCTTGACCCTTTCATACAGTTCCTCATGTTGTGGTGACCCCCCCAACCATAAAATTATATTCGTTGCTACTTCATCATTGTCATTTTGCTACTGTTATGAATTGGGCGACCCCTGTGAAAGGGTCATTCTACCCCCAAAGAGTCGTGACCCACAGGTTGAGAACCGCTGCTCTAGCTATAGGCAGCACCCATGAGCTCATACACACGCATACTCACACTCACACTGATGCACACACTAGTGCATACACATGCACTCATGCACAGCCCCACCTGATACTTGAATACTCACAATTATGTCCACATTCACCCAGGCACACCTACCTTACGCCCATGCACTTGCATGAACCCACAGACACACCTGCTCTCACAGGGTCGCCACTCACCCTGGTGGCCCACGTGGACTGGACAACACATGTGCACACAGCCAGACCCAGACAGGCTGCCCCCAGCGATTCCCCCAGCAGGAGTTGCTCCTCTCCCAGACTGCCAGCGGGTCCTTCCCACTCCCCCGGAGTCGGGTGGGAGTGTTGGGGTGGGAGTGGAACACCAGTCAGGGGGAGCTGCAGCGGGCACTCTGGACACAGAGTCCTGCCCCCTCACTTTACTGGTGGGAAAACACGGGCCCAGAAAGAAGCCGAGATGGCTCCAATGCCCCACAGCCCTGGGGTAGTTGAGGCAGGGTGAGGACCTTAGGTCCCGGAGCACCCCCTGCAGCCCCTGCTTTGGGAAATGGAGCAGAAGATTGTGAATGCAGCCTGGGAGTTCAGGAGGCAATCGGCTGTCACCTCCTCCAAAGGGAAAGGGAAGCTAGCTTCGTCCACGCTAAAGCTGGGGGTAGAGCCCAAACGATTGCTGGGCTTTCTAACAATGGACTAGGGCAGGACTTGTGGCCTCTCCTTCCTTCACCAGGGGAAAGAGAGAGAACCAAGTTCAACAGCCCCAGGCTGCCGCCTATGAGGCAAAGGCCAGACAGACTTCCCTCCACTCTCCAACCTTCTCATCAGCCTCACACCCACCCGGCTCCCACAGCGGGCAGCACTCTCCGCTTCCCTGCCGGCTCGATAGCTCCTTCAGGGACCACACGGAACTCCCATTTGAGCATGGGGAGTTACAAGTCAGAATCCAGGAGCTCCCTCTTTGACAGGACAGCTAGGAAGCTGTGCCTGCAGGCAGGCCCCTCCCTTAGTCCCTGGGCCCCTTAGAGCTGGCCTCTGTCCTGCTGGGCAAGGCATACATAGCTCTTAGCTTAGCTCCACTGCTAAGGACCCAGAGGCACCCCATTCTTCTGGGAAGCCTCCTGCCCAGGGGTGCTTAGCTGACTCACTTCAGGTCGGCACCCCAGCGGTCATCAGCTGCGTCCAGCAGTTGGCAAGGCAACTGGACGGGACAGGGCTTTGGGGCCGTCAAGACATGGATGGATGTTGACTAATATCTTTGTGCATCTTGCTTCCCCCCAATACGAGTCATTTGAGACCCTGAACTATCGATGATGGTGACGATAGAAATGTCTGGATTTCCTAGTCAGGTCTGCCTCAGGGAGCTGCACTGAGCGGCCTATCCTGGTCCTGGTCATGAGCTGAGGGGCAGCCGGGTGTTAAGGAAGATGAGGCGCAGAGAGGTAAAGACATTTACCCAAGCTCACACAGCAGCACCAGGAACTGGGAGCCAAGCGTGTGCCACCATGGCAGCCGGGCCCTTCCCAGCAGGCAGCACCGGCCCCACCCCCAGAGCAGGGCTGTGTTCCCTACACACCAGGCACACAAGTGTCCCCTCCGGCATGTGGCCTGGACAGAGTGTCCCTGTGTGTCTGACCCCATGCATCCGCGCTGACTCGGGTGCGTGCAGGTCCGGCTGGTGATCGCGGAGAAGGGCCTGGCCTGTGAGGAGCGCGACGTGAGCCTGCCACAGAGTGAGCACCAGGAGCCCTGGTTCATGCGGCTTAACCTGGGCGAGGAGGTGCCTGTCATCATCCATCGAGACAGCATCGTCAGCGACTACGGCCAGATCATCGACTACCTGGAACGCACCTTCACCGGAGGTACCCCGGCCCCGGCCCCGCCCCCGCCCAGCAGCAAGGGCTCCGACAGGGCCACAGGACCTCGAGAAGCCCACGCACACAGGCAGGGCTCAGATATCCCAGGACCCCACAGACCCGGTGCAGCAAGGCGTCACTACACCTTGGAATCTCATAGATATCCGGCAGGGCCTAGACACAGACTTTGACTGAGGTTCAGACACCCCAGAGCTCCACAGATCCCAAGCAGCAAGGGTCTAGACACTCCAGAACCCCACAGACCCTGGAATGAGCCCAGATATCCTAAGACCCCACAGACCTTTGTCAGCAAGGGCCTAGACACCCTGGAGCCCCACAAACCCCAAGCATAGACCAGACACCTCAGAACTCCACAGACCTTGGGCAACAAGGGCCCAGAAACCCTGGACAGCAGCAGACATGGGTAGGCCCCAGAACCTCTCGGACATGAACAGGCTCCACATACCCAGAATGCCTCAGAGATGGCAGAATCCTTGTACACAGAGCTCATGCCCCCAAGTGCTCCATGGGCTCAGAAGGAGCCAGTGGTCCAGAGACAAAGCCCTGGCTGCAGCCTGAGGACAGTGGCAACAGGGGTTGCCCCAGGCTCTTCCTTGTTCCTCCCTCGTCCCTCTAGTCACTCTAGTCCCGCCATCAGGGCCCTGCATGGCTTTGCCCTCCCTCTGGGAGCTGGTTGTTCCCACGCCCCCCACCCCACCTCAGCTCCTCAGGGAGAATTAGCTGCCAGCTGTGAAAACTCGAAGAGCATTCAGGTCTCCAGCTTCTCTTGAGACCTGGCAACTCCAGGCCGCAGGGAGGAGAGTAGCCCTGGAGAGGGACAGCGGGCAGAGCTGGGGGGAGGGGACGTGGGGCAGGGGCCTCGCAGGACCCTCTGTCAGTCACACAGGGAGTGTGGGGACTTCTCCTCAGAGGCCTGGATGGGGCGAGGCAGGGTGCCCCGCCCGCCCTAGCCCAGCCCCTGGCGGTGCCCCGCAGAGCACGTGGTGGCCTTGGTGCCCGAGGTGGGCAGCCCCCAGCACGCACGGGTGCTGCAGTACCGGGAGCTGCTGGACGCACTGCCCATGGACGCCTACACCCACGGCTGCATCCTGCACCCCGAGCTCACCACGGACTCCATGATCCCCAAGTACGCCACTGCAGAGATCCGCAGTGAGTGCCTGGGTGGGGTGGGGGGATCCCCTGTGCCCCTCCATCTCCGTCTCCCTCCCTTCATCTCACCAAGTCTGATGTGCCCCTCCCCTTTCTGGCTAACCTTCCATCTCCGTCTCCCTCCCTCCCTCTCTGCTGCAGGGTGGGAGAGGCCTGGTGGGGCATGGGGCTGTAAGGGTGGGGATGTGAGTGGGAGGAGCCGTGGAGACCCCGAGATGGGGTCTGCATTCTCCAAGGGCCGTTGTTCCAACTCAGCAAAGAACGAACGGGGCAGTGAGTGAGAAGGCTCTGGGTGCCAGTGCTGGTGGCCTGGCCTGGGCAATTCCTAAATTCTGGAGTGCTCCTCTACTCTCCCAATCAGAGGTGCCTAGAAGGCAGTGAGAAGGGGTCCATGGAGAATCCTCACGTGAACAGAAGGAGCCCACGAGCCCACGTCGCCTGAAGTAACCCGCTGCCCAGCCCCCCACACAAGCAGCTCAAGGTCTTTCCTTGGCCTAGCCTGCCCCCTGGAATCCGAACAGAGCCACATGTGACCGGCAAGGGAGAAAGTGCTACCTTTGACCTTCACATTCCTAAAACACCCATGCAACTTAATATAGCCCTGTGGCGGAGAGAGCCGGGCGTGTGTTTGCTGGGAGTTCTATCAGGCCAGAAGATGGAGTGATGGGTGGTGAAACCCCCGGGGCGCAGAAGGAGACCGTGTGTGTGGAGGCTGGATTTGCTCTGAGGGGTCCTTGAGGCTGTGGCCTATTGGAAGCAGCCCACCAGCGGGGCTTCTGGATGGGTTTGAACAGTGAAGCACTTAACCCTTTGTAGCCCCGAGAGTTTCAAGAGAAAGGTTAGGGAGGAAAGGACAGTGGACCCTGGGGCTGATTTGATGTGTGTGGGGGGACTGGAGGACAACGTGCAGGCAGGTGCCTTGCTTCAGTGTGGGGGTAGGAGGTGCAGCACCTTAGGGGGGAGATGCAAGAGGGGGAGGAGCAAGGAAGAGGATGAGGCCAGCTGGACCAGGAACCTGGGGGTGGGGGGTGGACTGTCCAGATGGGGCTGGAGCCCAGGGGAGAGGACAGGGAAGGACTGGCCTCACCAAAGACTCGATCCACTGGGCCCAGCTGACTGGCCAGAAATCTCAGAGAAATGCTGCCCTTCTCGGAACAGGCCCCAGGACCTGCTGCTCCCCGAAGACCCCCTCCTGTTATAGTAGACGTTCAAAGTGAGATGATGGGAGCCCATCTTTCTCCCACTCCACTCATTTCTTAGGGCTGCTGAAACCAAATACCCCACACGGGGTGACTTAGACAAGAAGGAGTTGTCTCAGCGTTGTGAAGGCTGGGAGTCTGGAGTCTGGTTATTGCCTCTGTGGAATCCTTCTGAGGGCTTTTAGGAAGATTCCATTCCACGCCTCTCCTCTCTTAGCTTCTGGTGTTGGCCAGTGATCCTTGGCATTTCTTGACTTGTAGATCATTCCGATCTCTGCCTCCGTGTTCACAGGATTGTCCCCCCAATGCCACCCCAGCGTGTCTGTGTCTCATCTCATTTGTGAGGATACTACTCATAGTGTATTAGGACGCCCTTACTCTAATATGACTCCCTGTTAACTGATAACATCTTCAAAGACCTTTCTAAGCAAGGTCACAGTCACAGGAGCCTGGTGGCATGTGCCGCAGGTTATGCACTGGGTTACCAACTGCAGCATCAGCAGTTCAAATCACCAGCCCCTCCTCAGGAGAAAGACGAGGCTTTCTACGCCTGTAAACAGCGACAGTCTCAGAATCTCACAGGGGCAGTTCTACCCTATCCTATAGGGTGGCTGTGAGTCGGCATCGCCTTGACTCACATTTGCTTTTTTGTTTTGAGAGTTAGAACTTTCAACCCAATTCAGTGCATAACACCCACTAAGATAAATTCCCAAGATGCTACTTTGAGTTCCACCATTAACCTACTGTCCATTACCCTTTCTCTTTGCGCAGGTGTGCAGGGCCAGTTTTACCAGGCAGAGTGGGCCACCTCATCCCTACATCATCAGGAAGTAGCCTTCCCCAAAATAGAGGATTCCAGACAACTGTTCTTGTGCTTTCCTTCTTACACTGAACACCTCTTTCTCTGTGAGGGCTAGTGGATGAGCGTTTGACTGAAAGTCGGACAGACCTAAGTTCGAAGCCTGCTTGTCGCTGGTGTGGAATGGTTACACAGCTTCTCTGAACCTACTGCATCCGTGTAGAGGGGTGGACGGAAGATACTTGCTGAACTATGAGTTTGTCCAGGTGCTGTGTTCTGTCCACGTGGTGAACTCCTCCTCCTCCTCCAGGACTGGGTTTCCTCTTTGGCGGAGGCTTCTTGGCCCCTCGTCCCCTAGGCAGGTCACCTTGTAGGCCCCATAGGGCAGGATAGGGTTCCATTCATCCCTGTGTTACAGCCTATAATTCATATCTAACTGCTTCAAAATCATTGGCTTTTGACATTTGCTACTTTCCTGAGCATTGTATGGATGGAACCTTCATGTTGCATGGGGGAAGGGGTGGGGAGGCACTGGTATTCAGAAGGACAGGGTCCCTCCTGTTCTTTTCCCAGGACATTTAGCTAACGCCACCACGGACCTCATGAAATTAGACCATGAAGAGGAGCCGCAGCTCTCTGAGCCCTACCTTTCAAAACAGAAGAAGCTCATGGTGAGTTCCTCTGGGCCTTCGGACTCCTCCTCCCACCATCTTTCCCCTAGAAAAGGACATGGACTTTAAGTAGTGGGTCAGCTGATGATGTGGAGTGGGAACAGCACTGGCTTGATTTTCATACACTGTCTCTGTAATGTATTGGCTTTATGATCACTGGCAAGTCACTGCTACCCATCCCACCCCCACCCACCCCCAGTTTCGGTTTCTTCATATCCTGGTTGGACCCCTAAAAGCAGAGCACTGAACAGGGGTACTTGATACTCCAGGGAGTGCTCTTAGGAGAACCCTGTAAGGAAGGGGAGTGGCAGGGGAAGGAAGGAACCCAAGCTGACCTGCTCCCACAGGGACCTCTGGAGCATAAATGACCACGAGGTTCATCATAAGGAAGCACCAGACTAGCCGTTTCAGCCTATATCGATGTGCCATTGGCTACAGATGGCCTGGGGGTGAGGAAGGACAGAAGCTCCTGAGCACTTCTAGGCAGAGCGGCTCTTCCTTGGCCAAGAGTAGTGCCCTGGACATGATGGCAGCTCTGAACCAGTAGTCACCAACATTCCCTGCAACTAGGGATAAAAAGGATGGGGCATCCTCTGGACTTGAGGAGATATTTGGATACTGGATTTGCAGAAAGGCAGTTAGGCCAACTCCTACCTTCCCAAGCCATCTCGGGCTCTCGTGAGGCCAACCAGCCCTCTCCTGCTTGCCCTCCAACCAGGCCAAGATCCTAGAGCATGACGATGTGAACTACCTGAAAAAGATCCTCGGGGAGCTGGCCATGGTGCTGGACCAGATCGAGGCTGAGCTGGAGAAGCGAAAGCTGGAGAATGAGGGTGAGTGCCACCCCGGGGTAGGTAGGTGACGAATTGCACCTGCCCTCCCTGCTTCTGCCCCAACCCAGCTTCCTTTCCCCGCAAAGATCTCCAAGGATGTTCTCCGTGGTGAGAATCATGGCTCGTGGCGTTACGCGAGCCTGGGCTCATGTTTCAACATGGCCACTTGCTGGCTGAGTGGCCTTCAGTCAAACAGTTCACATCTGCATTTCAGTGTTTTACTTATAAAGTGTCCATAATACTAGGGCTTTGCTCAGAGAGTTGTTGTGAGACTGCATGGGCTCATTCAACGGAGTGCTCAGCAAATAGTGGGTGTTTAACGAAGGCCGATGCTGATGCTGACGCTGACAAAGACGATGGCTGCACACCGTCCCATTCTTCTGCCAAGCCCACACCACAGAGGCAGAGGATTTAGGTTCTGTCTCTTGCCCAGGGGTGTGTGTACAAGGATAGGTTCGAGATGTAGACACGTTTCCTATCAACACAGGAGTGAGGTGTTCTGATGTTGCATTTCAAAGCACTCTGGTGGCTGTGTCAGCGTAGGCTTCAAGGTGAGAGGCAGTGGGCATGTCAGTGGATTTGAGGCAGACAAATGGATGGAACGTACTGAGTGCTTGTCCAGGGTTGGGCATGGGAAGGAGAAGTCAATGGTGACTCGGGTTTGGACCTAAAGCTACTGCATGGTACCATTTACTCGATTAAGAAAATGATGCTTGATACAAGAAAATGGAACCATGTTTCGTGTAAGACACAGTGAGTTTGAGGTGCCTGTGAGACATGTCTAACTCAAAGAAGAGATCAGAATTTGGAGATACCGATTTAGGGATCCCCAGCATATTTATGGTGCTAAAGGCCATGAAATTGGACAATTTAAGGATCAAGTAGAGGGAAATCCAAAAATATAAGTCAAGATCTCTTCTATTAGTGTTCTATTACCATGTAACAAATTACCCCCAAACATAAAGCGTGTGTGTGTGTGTGTGTGTGTGTGTGTGTGTGTGTAAACTGTTCCTTGTGGATTTTGGTGAAGGTATACAGAGCAGATCTGTTTCCCACTCAATCATTCAGGCACATTTTGTTTCCTGTCATTGGTTGCAATCCCCACTCATCCAATTTCATCCTCCCTGTGCTTCCCATTCACATTTCTCCACCTTACTGTTTTGAACCTTGTCCTTGGGTCCACGCCAAGTCTGTCCTTAACATTTTCAGATGGTTGATTTCTCTAAGGTGTGTCTGACTCGTGTCATTGTTCCCCGCCCAGAACTGGCTATTCTTCAGCTGAAAATTGAGTTGCGGGGAGTTCACTGCCAGACCTAAAGTGTGACTAAGGACCATAGTCTTGGGGGTTCACCAGTCTTCATCTGATCAGTAATCCTGGTCTTTTTTGATTTAGAGTTGTGTTCTACATTCCCACCACTACTGTATCCAAGACCTACTAGCACAGTGGTTCCCAACCTTCCTAATGCTGCCACCCTTTAATACAGTTCCTCATGTTGTGGTGACCCCCCAACCATGACATTATTTTCGTTGCTAACTTCATAACTGTTATTTTGCTACTGTTATGAATTGGGTGACCCCTGTGAAAGGGTCGTTTGACCCCCAAAGGGGGTGCGACCCACAGGTTGAGAACCGCTGTAGGATCCCTTTCAGAGTGGTTGGCAGTGGGACCTTCTGGTCTCAGTCAGGGTCGTGGAGACAGAGGCTGTGTGGACGGATCCACTGGACTAGTGGTGTCCATGTGTCCTCAATTTTCTGTACTCTTCTTTCCTCCAAGCAGAGGGAAACCACAGTATTGCCTTCCATGCCACTCAGGGGGCTTTTAAAACCCCAGTCGCTACTCAGCAACATAAGATGAAGAACATTGTACTTGTGAACTAGGTGATGCTGATTGACCTGGGGTTCCCTTAGACTATGGTCCTGAACCCCTAGACCCAGCAACTCATTTCCTCAGAGCATTTGGTTCTACCTAAGACGTTTTCATAACTTTCTCCCCTGTGTGCTCTACCACCTCCATGGATATATTTGCAGCCAAGGTAAATACCCATGTGCAAATATCCCTGTCCAACCTATAGACATTCCAAGTTTGACTCCCACGCTTCCTCCCACACCCATTGAAGGAGCATGTCTATCCTCGCATCTACTTGTGTTGCAGGATTGTGCCTACAAGAGGATTTCACTTGGCGGCCTTTAGCCCTCGCGTTCTTCCTGCTGTCTTCTGTCTCCATCGTTCTGTTACTTACCTCCCTCCCGTTGCCATCGCCTACCCTTTTAGCCGAGTCTGCCCTCTACCTGGTCCTTTGCCGCCCGCCTCCCTCCCATCCCTGGAAGGGAAAAGAATGTCTCTCTTGGTGTGGAAATCGCTTCTCCACTCTTTATAATAGTGCCTCCTGCAGTATTTGCTCTTCTTGATTGACAGATTTCACTCAGCCTGCCCTGACCTTCAGGTCTATCCATGCTAAGAGGTGTTTCGCAGACTCTTCGCTGTTCTTGAAGGTTGGGTCGTGCTCCACTGTGTGTCTGGACCACAGTTTGCTTACCCATTCGTCCGTGGGCGGGCATTTAGGTGGTTTCCGCCCTGTGCTGTGGACCAGTGCTGCGATGAAGGTGGTGCGCATACAGCTCTTGTTTTTCTAGCTTATCCACCAGGAGCGGGGTCTCTGGACCATGTAGTATTTCTACATCCAGCCTTTCAAAAAGCACCATACCGTTTCCCAGAGTCACGGCACTATTTCAGTGGTCCCTCAGCAGAGTATGAGGGTCCCAGTCTCTCCACACTTTCGACAGCATTTGTTCTTTTCTGTGTTGTGTTGTTTTGAACGTTGCTGTCAATGCTGCGTGTGGTGACAGCCCATTGTTATTTGGATTGGTGCTTCCCGAACGACTCATGGTTGTTAGCCCCTCGCCCAGTGCTTGCTGGCCGCCTGGATGTCTTCTTGGGTGAAGTGTCTGTTTTAAGTCTGCTGCCCATTTCTCCCCATTGGGTCATCTACCTCTTGCTGAGGTATTCGAGCTTTCTTTAAATGTTCCAGGCTAGCCCCTTGTCCAATATGTCGTACCAAAGGGGTTTTCTGTTTGTTTGTTTTTCCTGATCTGTGGATTCTCTCTTTACTCTTCTGGTGAAATAGTTGACGCCCCTCCGTGTTTAATTTTTAGGAAGTTAGGCTGTAGGTCTAGTTTGTCATCTGCTATGTATGTCTTCCGTTATTTAAAGCATTGATCGTGTCATGCATTTTCTGTGGATCAGGAATTCTGGAGCAGCGCCACTGGTAATGTAGGGTTATCATGAGGTTGTAATCAAGCTGTCAGCCAGCACTTTGAACCGGTTCAGAACAGTTCTCTCGTGGCCGACGGAAACAAGGGCAGTGTACATACTTCACAGCAACCAGATCTCCCGAACCAAGTAGGACACAGGCAGCAGAGCCCTGCTCAAAGATGGTGGCTGGTGCACTTTCAAAGTAATGTCCTTGGCCACCATTTTTTAATGGGGCTCTGTTGCCCGTTTCCCACTGGGGTAAAAACCTGACACCCAGGATATTTGGTTGCTATGCACCCTGTGCCCTGACCTTGTTTCCACTGGCCATGGCTGGGCTGTTTGGCCTCACTAGAATTGGAGACTCCACTTCCACGCACGGTGGTTCATTTCTCATGGCCATTGACTAGAGCTCCTCCCTACGCAGGCCTCTCCGTGGGGCGACATGTATGTCTTCTCTTGCCGACAGGGCAGCTGGCTCCCCCCAAAACAAGTGATCCCAGAAAGAAAGAGAGGAAAAGGCAGACTCCACGATGTCTCTAATGCCTGACTATTGAGAGTCACGCTGTCATTTCTACCACATTTACAGTCGTGAGACAGGAGTAAGGAACTATACAACCCACATCCAAGGGGAGTAGAATTGGGATTCCCTAAAGGGAGGGATGTCACACACGTCGTGGGTGTGTTTTCAAACTACCACACTCGTCCTGAGGTTCACCCACATCGAGAGGCAGGTGAGGCAGAGGAGCTGGCACAGCTGGCAGGGAAGGAGGGGGGGAGGAGGAGCCTGTGTCACAGGACGTCAGGGCGGATGGTGTCCCATGCTGCTAGGAGACTGAGTAAACCAAGGATAAGAAGAAGTCCCTGGGTGCTGTCCCCTGGATGCTGTGGGTGACCTTGACAGAGCCGTTCCATTAACGTGCGAGGCAAACGCCAGCCTGGCCTGGGCTGCAGAGGGCTTGTGAGTGTGTCCCAGGTGAGCAATGACAATGACAACTGACAAGCCTTCGGGGAAGTCTAGCTGTAAAAAGCAATGAGGAAATGGGGCGGTGGTTCAAGGTGGGCGTGTGAAGTCAAGGGAGGCGCATTTGTGTGTGTGTGTGTGTGTGTGTGTGTGTGTGTGTGTGTGTAAGACAGACAGTAGGCATGAGAGTATGTTTCACGCGGACAGAAGTGGCCCCGTGGAGAGGGGAATGAATGCTGCAGGCCTTTGCCACGTTCTGGAGCTGTGGGAAGGAGCGTCGTGTGGACAGGGTCTCCGTTACGGACAGGTGGCACGCTGAACCTGGGCGGAGTGTTGGTGGTGGGGGCCGCTGCCGACCCCCGTGATGGAGTAAGACTGCCCCTCGAGCTTTCAGAGCAGTCATCCTGGGGGGCAGGTGACCAGGCCTTTCGCCCACAGGCCCCGGGAGAGCTTGAACCAGCGGCTGAGGGCCCCACCGTGGCCCCACCAGGGCTCCCTGGGTAAACAGAAGCGGTGCAGCTGAGGGATGGTTTACAGAGGTGTAGGCAGGATACAGGGAGCCACCAGGAAAGGGGTAGTGCCCGGGCTGAACCGGGCATGGGGCAGGGGGTGAGGTGGGGGGAGGGGTCTCAGGAAGCTGGACAGAGAGGCTGTGGAGAAGAGACTTGGCAGGAGCTGTGCCTTTCAGTAAAGAGACAATAGTTACCCCCAGAGAGTGGGGAATACTCACTCAGTCCTCCCTTCATCCCCCTACCCCCCACATCTGCTGCCTCTGTTCCCACTAGC